TTCCCAGCCCTCAGCTCTCCCCATGGACTGCCGCCTCCCTCAACAACTCAGGTTCTCAGAGCTCCTCTTTCTGCAAAAACAGTAATGATAATGAACCAGACTAATTTGCTGAGCACTTACTATGTGCCAAGCACCTAAGCAGTTTACATGTGTAAGCTCATTTTACCCCCCAACAGCCCTTTGAGATGGAATTCTATCAATATCATTCTCATTTTATCCAGGATTCAATTACCTCATCAGTAGAATAAGAGACACTTATATTGCTTATATCACAGGGCTGCTGTGAGCTAAAATATGTACAATACCTGGCACAGAATAAGTGCTATTTGTGTCCATTATTACTTATTGAGTAATACGGAACACAGAGAGGCTGAGTAAATTGCACAAGGTCACACAGCTGTAATGACAGAGCCAGGATTCAAAACCCAAGCTATAATGTAATTCCATAAAGTTGACTCTTCACTGCCTAGAGCTGAATGTAGTGCCTCCTTGGGCTGGTCAGCCTGCAGCGTTCCCCTGCCTCTCCTTCAGTGGCCCCAACACCCCATCCCTTCCCAATCAAAGTTGCCTCTCAACCACCCAGACTGTGGTCCTTTTTCCCCTTATCCCTCCCTAAGTGTGGTAAGCTTCATTTTCCCCTGAAGCCCCTGTCCTTCTGGAGCACCAGGGCCCAGCCCCACTGGCCTCAGGGACTCACACATTTGGACCACAGCTTCACTCACCTTTTTGATACCATACAGTAGGCTGACAATTGCTGCCACCAAAGACAGAGTGATCAACACGATGGCCCAGTCGGGGACAGAGCCCTTCTCCTGTGGCTTCAGGCCTGAGGACCAGAGAGGGACAGTGATCTAGGCAGGTGGGACCTCAATCCCCCGACTCCCCACTGCCCTCTGTAACTTTGCATCTTTCCTTCTGTGACTCTGATGTCTACGTGACTCTGAGACCACGTTGCTCGGTGGAGTTCTGTCTTGTCATCTTGGGAACAGAATTTCAGTGGAGGGGGTTTCAAAGGGCATCACACCAAACTTTACTCACTTCTTTCCTAACACCTGTGGACGTGTCTGTCAGTCTCTAAAGTCCTCACTGACATCCATGCCTCTCCGTCTTTCTGAACCTTCCTCCATATTCCAGGCTGTTGTTATACCTCTCTCGTCTGCAATGCCTCTGCACTCTGACAGTCTCTCGGAAGGTCTCTCAGCTTATTCAGAGGCTGCCCCCTTCTCCTTCCTCACCACCCCACCCTGACTCTGATCTTTAAGGGGAGCCAGAACCAGTCCTCTTGTTTTCCCTTCACTCATTTCCTGCCCTCAGACTGCCTGGTGGGGAGACTTGGATTGAACGGGAGGGAGGGGGGAGACGGAGGAGGAGGACAGAATCTCGGGAGGGGATACTTGTTGCCCGGCAAAGGCAAGTTGGGCCACGAGGAATAAAGTCGAAAACCTTTTGAGGAAGCGATCCGGTAACAGCCATCCAGCTTCTGGTCTGACCAGAGGCTTGAGGGGCACTGGAACCCTTTGAAGAACTGGAGATGTTCTTAGGTGTACTCAAAACACAGAAGAAAGCAGGCCTTAAGCCTGTCCCTACAATGGCAACCCTCTCCAGTATTCTTGCCTAGAGAATTCCATGGACAGAGGAGCCTGGTGGGCTACAGTCCATGGGGTTGCAAAGAGTTGGAAACGACTGAATGATGAACACTTTCACACTTTCACACTCCTCTCCAGGAGCTGGGGTGCCTGCCGGTCAGTGACCCAGTGCAAACAAGAGCGCCTTACTGGTCGGGACGCTGAGCCCAGAGGAGGCGGTGGCTGCTTCAGCTGTGGTGGCTGCGGAACCGCTTGAGACAGCCACACCTGGTGTGGAAGCCCCAGGCACGGGTAAGGCAGTTCCCAGGGCTGTTGTTGGGGAGACAGATCCTAGAAGCGCAGAGGGGAAAACAGGTGGAGATCTGAGCAAGAACAGAAGCAGAAATTCCATCCAGTGCCCTCTCAGTTGAAATCCTGGCAAGTGTTTGGTAAATAAAAATAAAAGGACTGAGAAAAGCTAAGACAGTCTTAAAAACAGAAGTGGATGGCTTATACTACCAGACCTTAAGACTGGCTGCAAAGCTGCAGACATTAAGGACTGTGGCCCTGGAGTAAGAATAGACAGAAGAGAGCCCAGAAATAGACTTGGTCAGTTTACTTTCAATAAAGGGACTCACACATTTCAATGGTGGGGAGAAAGGAAGAGTCTTTGAAATGAATGGTTCCAGGGCAACTGGTTATTTGTAAGAGGAAAAAAGGGATCTTGACCCCTACCTCACTCCATACACAGAAATTAATCTGAGATATGTCATAGGCTTAAATTTGAAAGCTAAGATTCTTAGATTCAAAGATTCTAAATTTGAAATTAAAGTTTCTGGAAGAATGCATCGGAGAATATTTTCATGACCTTGAAGTAGACAAAAAAAAAAAAGTCTTAGGCAGGATATAAAAAACACTAACTACAAGAGAAAAAGTTGATAAGTTGAAAAGCAGAAGGGGGTCCTTTGTATAGCTACCAAAGCCAGGACTGCTTCAGTGAGGCTCTGGGAGCTAACGATTTATTCTTGGCTGAGCACAGGAAGCCCCCACCCAGAGCTGCAGGCAAAGCCAAAGAGCTCTTCAGAGATGGCCTGAGCAACAGAAGTGTCACCTGGCAACGCTGATGCTGCTCCTGATGGGCTCCCAGAAATGGTTGGAGTTAAAGTCTGAGGATTACTGGGCAAAGCCCCAGGTGTTGAAGAAACTGTAGAGAAACTCACAGAGACAGTGGAAAGACCAGCAGAGATATCCCCAGAGACAGTAGAGAGGCCANAGAGACGGTGGGGAGACCTCCAGAGTTAGCTGTCCCCGATGGGATCAGTAGAGCTGTTGGCAGAAGAAAGATGAGAAGATGGAGTTAGAAGAGCTGGCCCTCTCCCTGGATCCTGAGTCCACATCTTGCCCTCTACACCCCCCGTGCTCACCGTAGCCAGTGAAGGCCTGAAGGCCCAGGAGCAGCACCAGTGCGGCAGCCATGGTGCCTGCTGAGATGCGCTTCCAGGACCGTCTCCCTGGCTCTTTAAAGGCTTTAAGGCCCTATTAGAAGGCTCAGGAGAGCCAGGTGTGCCAGGGCCTCCATCAACACCAGGATCTTCATTCCCAGGGAGAGGCCACCCAACTGTCCCCAGGGGATTAACCTGTCCCAGCTTGATCCCAGGAAGCACTGGGCGAGGGGGAGAGTGAATAAGAGCCTGAGGATTCTCCTTCCAGGTCCTCAGGCTCTTTCCGGGTTCAGGATCTAACCCCCAGGTCAGAGTCAGTCCCCAGTCCAGACCTTCTCTGAAGGGGAGAGACCCAGGTCTCCTATCCCAAGGTCCTCATGCTCCTAGAAATATGACCGTGGGTGGAGGGTGAGGTATATGGGTCCCTAGGGGATGCAGCGGGTGGAGAATGACTGATGCTGACCTCACCCGACTCTTAGAAGAGTCCAGGGCAGGGCAGGAGGGTGAACATCTGAACCATCCCTCCTTCACAGTGACTGCAGCCCATAGAACTTTCCATTCCTTTGGCGGAGAAGGAGTGAGGAGAGGAGAGGGGCACCAGGCAAGACAATCATCTGTTCAGGGGCAGTGGGATGAGCAAGTTCAGAACCCAGCTCTGAATCCACTGCGCTGGAATCCACCACTTCCAAGCTGTGCACTCTCGGGTGAGTCATGTGACCTATCAAAGTCTTCGCCCCTAAAACTGGGGTAAGGCAGTATCTACTTCAGAGGGCCATAATAAGGATTAAAGGAAATAATGTTTCTAAGGTGCCCAGCACACAGCAGCCTCAGCTATGATGACATGGAAAGAGGAGCGCCCGCTGGGAAAGACAGAGGCACACTCCCACTCTCCCCTTAGGAGGACTCAGATAACCTGAAGCACCTGTGTTCCCCGTTCTTCCCTGCTGCTCCTGCCTCCTATGTCTGATGGTCCTTTTGTCCATGAATTCCTCCCAGTCTGGGCTCCCTGCTGTCCAGTACACGTCTGAGAGCCCCTGGGTTGCCCGTTATTTACATTCATGGTATAGACAGTGTCCCCCTTCATCTCTCCATCTTGCTGGTCCTGCTTTTGACTTTTCTCCCTGACTCTACCCTGTACCCTGTCTCCATCCCTCTGCTCAGGGGCCCACTGGTTTTGGGGGGAAGGGAGAGAAGACATATAGGGAGGCAACTAAGATGATAAAAGGGCATGTGCCCATGTGTATTCTAGAAGGTTTGCACGACTAGTTTGTCAGTCTGTTGAGCTTATACCTGTGTCTGGCTAATGACAGCCTGGTCTGTGTCTAATCTCTCTGCTACTGACTTACTGTGTGACCTTAATAAGTCATTTACCCTCTCTGAGCCTTAGTTTCCTATTTTTTTAAAGAGAGAGGGTAGGGACTTCCCTCGTGGTTCAGAGGCTAAGACCACACTCCCAACGCAGGGGGCCTGGAGTTTGATCCCTAGTCAGGGAACTAGATCCCATATGCCACAACTAAGACCCAGTGCAGTCAAATAAAATAAATAAAGAAGAAAGAAAGAAGGTAAACTAGACAGGTCACAAATTCCCTCTACATCCTGTCTTTGTGTTTGCCATTCTGAGTGACGTGGGAAAGGGCTTTGGCTGGGAGGATGAAGGGATTTCTTTTGCGTGAGCACATGAGGCAGGATGTGGTGGGGATATTTGATGAAACTGCGTCTCCGCCCAAGTAGCTAGGCTATGTTAGACTAAAACAAAAATATTCAAAGGTGAAAGTTCCCCCTCACCCAGAAAGTCACTGCGGCTGAGGGAGCAGGACACTTGGGTTTGGGGAGAACTCCGTGTAATCTGCCCCTCCCTTTCGGGTCCACATTCCTGAGCCCTTGGGTGGCATGGCCGATAGAAATTAATCACAGTTAATAATTAATCCCTAAAGAGCAATGAGAAGCCCAGGCATGGGTGAGGCCCAGACACCAGCACAAAGGGACGCCTCCCCAACTTCCCTCCCTGGGGCACACACTCCCTCTCAAGCTTTGAGACGTGGGGGAGAAGTGGGACACGGGATTGAGGAAAGGGGACCGCCCTCCCTTTCCCCAACAACCCAGTGAATGGCCCTCTCCTGGGTCCTCAGAGCCTTATTGAGAGAACTGGAAAATCCAGTTGCCCAGCCCCCCTCCCATCACCCCACGGGCACCATTGCTGGGACTGAGTAGGGAGCAGGAAGGCAGGCCCGGTGAGGAGAGGCCAGCGGGCCTTCAGACATCTCTTCCACCATCTGAGAAGTGAGGGGATAGAGCCGCGATGGGGACTGAGCTGCCCCTCGTCCTCCTCCTGACCCTTGTCGGCAGCTCACAGGGGGCAGGTGAGTCTGCAGCACAACACACCTGGTCCCCAAGACAAGAAGAGGCCAAGAGGGGGTGAGAGAGAGATGGAGGCACCCTAGTCCTGAGGTCCTCAGGGCTCAGGGCTGAACTGCAGCAAGAGGGTCTGGGAGGGCATCGTCTGGAAGGGGTGAAAGACCTCGGGTTGGGGTGGGGTAGGAGGGGCGCCTGCACCCCTGAGGGAGCCTGTTCCTGGCAGCTGGGTTCTCAGCTGTGCATCTGGATCCCTAGGGCCGGGAATGACTTTGCAACTGAAGTTGAAGAACTCCCTTCTGGCAAATTCCTCCTACAATTCCAGCTTCCTGGACTTTCTCCAGAAGGTAGCCCTTTGGGAGGGAAACAGAGGGGGCTGTGTGAACTTGGAGTGCGTTTCTGAGTCGGTTTGGTTTGGGCGGCTGGCCGCCCCCAGGTATGAGTGAGAGCCATCTTACACCTCACCCTCTGGCCCTCTGTCTCCCTCAGTTCTGCCTCCTCCTCCACCTCCCCGTGGGGACCAACGTCACCCTGCATCAAGCAGGGTCCTCACAGCACGTCACCTGCAGAGTCTGAGAGCAGCCGAAGCCTGTGCCCTTCTTGGCTGGGGCCTCCGGTCCCCGGGGAGCAGGCGCCATGCCCTGACCCTGTCTTCCAGCAGGACCTCACCCTGTTAAGTGGCAGTAAATATGCTGAATTCAATGACCTGACTTTGTGGGTTCATGGGCGGAGGGGCTGGCAGGAAAAGGGAACTGGATACTCAAGTGTCTGAGTCTCCCTTGTCAAGCAGAGGGTTTCCCCAGTGGATGCACTCTCTCTTAACATCATGCCAAAGGCCTACTTGGGGACACACACACACACACACACACACACACACACGCACGCACGCGCGTGCACGTGCACTTCAGGTTGAGTTCCTCAGAGCACCTGGGAATAAAGGAAAGGAACCTTTACTGAATTCCTGCTTTGTTCCAGGCAAGAGGCTTTCCCATGTCAACACCTGCAGCAGGTTCCCATATAGCATAATAGATCTCATTATCCCATTTTACTGATGAGGAAATCGAGGCTTAAAAGATGGTAAGTCACTTATTTGAGTTCCATTAGCAATGGAGATGTCTGACACCAAGCAAATGCCTTGGCTTAAGCAAGATTTTAATTTCCTCTCCCTTTGCTTATGCTTTGGGGCTGGGGGCTCAGGAACCTCAGGCAGGGATGTGGGCAGAACACGCCCAGTCAGGGTAGCAGGTGGGGTGGGGGAACGTTGATGTGAGAGATGAGGGGTTCAGCTTGTGAGAGGATGGCCAGCCTGGCAGAATAGGAGGGGAGACAGCATGGAACCTATGGGAACATGTAATACCACAGGCCCACGCTTATGTCCTAGATGAGTTTCTTATTCTCCTAGAACTTCTTTTTTTTTTTTTCTGCTCTGGGTATTAGGTGAGGCATGTGGGATCTAGTTCCCTGGTCAGGGATCAAACCCAGGCCCCCAGATCAGAAGCTCCAAGTCTGGTGCTTGCTTTGGCAGCACATATACTAACATTGGAACAATACAGAGAAGATTATCATGGCCCCTGTGCAAGGATGACATGCAAATTCGTGAAGTGTTCCTTATTTTTATTCATGTTGAGGTTTGACAGAAAACAACAAAATTCTGTAAAGTAATTATCCTTCAATTAAAAAAAGATTTTAAGAGCCATTAAAAAAAAGAAGCTCAAAGTCTGTTAAGACTGGACCAGCGAAGTCCCAGTCTCCATTGCTTTACCAGCAAAATGAGGATAATGGTAGTACCTGCTTCCTTGAATTGTCTTGAGGATTCCATGGATAGGCTACCGAGGACACTTGCCATGGTACCTGTCAGATAAGTAGGTCTGGATGGTAGGAACTTTTATTAGGGTGGAAACCTGGCCCCGGTATAAAAGTCTTAGTCCCCTAGGGCTCTGCCTTCCCCTGCTTTTCCTTTTTTTTTTTTTTTTGTTTTTGGCTGCAGGAGCCCAGTTCCCAGATCAGGGGTGGAACCTGGGCCCCTTGCAGTGGAAACACAGAGTCCCAACCAATGGACCACCAGGGAAGTCCCACCTCCTGCTGTTTTTAAGGCAGGTACTCATCTTACTCCACACTCAAGATGCTCTTGACTTCTTACTGGCTGACTCTAAATGCAAGCATGCAGCCCAGACTTGACCATGAAGGGCTATTGGTGTGATTGCTTCCTGCTCTCCACAGTTCCTGTCCTACCAACCTGCTCCAACCCCCGCACAGCACCACCACCACATGAAACTAGAGACTGGCTCCTTTGGAGCAAGGGAAAGGTAACATTCCAAATGGAGTATCCCTGAAGATAAGAAGGCATGACAAAATGAAATTTCTTTCGTTTCCTTGACAACTGTCCTGGGACTATTACCCCTGGAAGAGGAGAGGTAGCTGGGGGCTCTGTAGGACCCCAGTATTTCATGACTGACCTCTAGGCTGCACCAGTGGGCAGGTGGGTCAGGTGAATAGACCCCAAACAAGTTGAGGGATTGAATGTCTGGATCTCCAAAAGGATGGAGGAGCAGACAGTGCACTGTTTTTGTTGCTTAATTTTGATTTATTTTACGTGTATTTTTCTGACTGTCTCTGCTAGAATCAAAGTTAAAAAAAAAGGGTAAGTGTAGTCACTCAGTCGTGTCAGACTCTTTGTGACCCATGGACTCCTCTGTGCATGGAATTCTCTAGGCAAGAATACTGGAGTGGGTTGCTATCCCCTTTTCCAGGGAATCTTCCTGGCTCAGGGATCGAACCTGGGTCTCCTGCATTGCATAGAGTCCCAACCAATGGACCACCAGGGAAGTCCCACCTCCTGCTGTTTTTAAGGCAGGTACTCATCTTACTCCACACTCAAGATGCTCTTGACTTCTTACTGGCTGACTCTAAATGCAAGCATGCAGCCCAGACTTGACCATGAAGGGCTATTGGTGTGATTGCTTCCTGCTCTCCACAGTTCCTGTCCTACCAACCTGCTCCAACCCCCGCACAGCACCACCACCACATGAAACTAGAGACTGGCTCCTTTGGAGCAAGGGAAAGGTAACATTCCAAATGGAGTATCCCTGAAGATAAGAAGGCATGACAAAATGAAATTTCTTTCGTTTCCTTGACAACTGTCCTGGGACTATTACCCCTGGAAGAGGAGAGGTAGCTGGGGGCTCTGTAGGACCCCAGTATTTCATGACTGACCTCTAGGCTGCACCAGTGGGCAGGTGGGTCAGGTGAATAGACCCCAAACAAGTTGAGGGATTGAATGTCTGGATCTCCAAAAGGATGGAGGAGCAGACAGTGCACTGTTTTTGTTGCTTAATTTTGATTTATTTTATGTGTATTTTTCTGACTGTCTCTGCTAGAATCAAAGTTAAAAAAAAAGGGTAAGTGTAGTCACTCAGTCGTGTCAGACTCTTTGTGACCCATGGACTCCTCTGTGCATGGAATTCTCTAGGCAAGAATACTGGAGTGGGTTGCTATCCCCTTTTCCAGGGAATCTTCCTGGCTAAGGGATCGAACCTGGGTCTCCTGCATTGCAGGCAGATTCTTTACCATCTGAGCCACAAGGGAAGCCTAAATCAAAGTACAAAAGAGCAAAGATTTTTGTTTCTCTCATTGATAAATCCAAGGGTTCAGAATAGAGCCCAGCCTGTAATAGGTGCTCAAGAAAAAGGAAGGTGCTCACTCCCTCCTTTTCCTTCCCCTCTGGTGGGATGTGGTATACTGGTGGGAGCATTCCTTAGACCCAGAGTTGGGAAGAGTGTATTAAGATGGCAGGAAAGTAAGATCAAAAGGGATACTGACTCCTCCATTGCAGAGTCCTGCACTGCTTCTGCCCAGCAAAAGAAACACCTATCTCATCTAAGCCATTATCTTTGTTGCTTTTTAAAAATCACTCTTATTTTTTATTTTTTAATTGAAGTATAGCTGATTCATAATATTAGTTTCAGATGTACAACATAGTGATTCAATATTTTTATAGATTAGCCACTACTATCTCTGAAGCTTGGTTACCGCAGGCAGATAACTGGCACCTAACTTACTGGGCTGAACTCCAGTAATTCCAGCTGATACTGTGGACTAATTCCTTTTATTCCCTGAGCAAGTCTCTTCAACTCTAAAATGGAGCAAACACCCGCCTCATGAGGTTCTCAGGAGGAATAAATGGCACCACAGAAGATCCAGCCAGGCCCAGCACACACAGTAGGTTCTCAGAGCTGCTGGACAGAATGTCACTTGGGTGGCAGGCCCCTGAATTCTACCAATGGGACAAGGTGTGTAAGGTGGCTAGGAGGGCGTCTGTGTGTTTCTGTGTACCCCTGTCTGAGGCTGGGCGGTGTGTCCCTAGCACTGTGGTCTCAAGATACACAGAAGTGGGAGGAACTCAATCCCCAGCACAGCCTGCAGCTCCCCAGGCCTGTGGGAAGTCTCCCATCCCCTCAGCATCTCTGGAAATAAGGCCAAGAAGCAGGGAAGCTCCCTTTTGGTGAAAAGCAGAGGAGAAAGAGCCTACAGAAGTTGGACCACTGTCAGTAAGTGCAGGAAGTAAGTGGAACCCAGGTCACTGTGCTCAGGTCCTACTTGAGAGCATCTCGCCCGTCCAATGAGGGAGGCCCTGCCCAGCACCCACACTCCCACCATGGCCCAGAGCACTAGGAGGCTGCCCCCCTTTTCCCAGACCAGAGTGTCAGGAACAACCAAGAGGCAGGAAAGTCATGGCTAAGGGAAAGGATAAAAGGACCACAGCAGACATGTTTGGTATCTTAAGTTTATCTGAGTGTCCTCCTTCCCAAACTTCCAGGTGGGACTTCAGAGGAGGGAAGCGAGGGCAAAAATGTGAGCGTCTTGAGGTCACCCAGTCATCTGACAAGCCAGTGTGTTTCCTCACTGACAAAATGAAGGGGCTGGACCACATAACACCCCAATGCTGTCCGGTCTGTCCTCAGAGGCCTCAAAGGCGGGTCTGGGAGGGAGGAAAGTCACGGGGATGGTGAGCCCCCAGGGCTTGGAGACGCATCCATCAGCTGCCGGAGGTAAGAGGCCGCGTTGTCCAGTTTTGACAATTCCAACTTGAGGGAAGAAAGCTGAGCAAGGAGAGAAGTGGGTAAAAATGGAGGTGGGGGAGTCACCCCTCCCTGCGTGCCCCTAGCCCTCATTCCCTCAGGGAGTCCGGCGCCCTGAGTGGCCTCCCCCAGCCTCACCCTCTGCTGCCTCTGAGTCTCCGCCTCTCCCTCTGACGGGGGCCGGGCTAGGAGGCCATCAAGCTGCTTCTGCAACTTGTGTCTTCGGGCAGCCAGCCGAGGTAGGTGGGTCTGGGGGTCCACCAGGCCCTGTGCAAGAACAGAGGAAGAAGGCTCAGCCCTCTGCCGTCCACCCAACACCCCCTCCCACTCACCCACCACCATTCCAAGACCCCTCCTCACTTTTAGAAAACCCACCCCTTGCCACCTCCTGACATCCTTTCAGCCCCTCCCTGCTCCCTCCAGTCTCCTCTGCTCACCTGCAGCTCCATATACACCTGACTGGTGTCACTGAGGGGGGCCTGGACCCAGCCCGAGGGGGCTGCTGCACCAGGGGGTAGAAGGCCCACCGCCCCACAGTGGCCCAGGGTGCCCAGCGGCTCCAGGAAGGCCTCAAAGAGGCCCTGCTCGCCCAGCTCTGAGCTCTGTAGCAGCACTGGGGAGGAACGGGAGTTGTCAGGTGGAGGGCCCAGGTCCTCCTCCCACACCTCCTAACTTGGGGCCCTGCCCTCCAAGCTCCCCCTCTTCCCCATCAGACCCTCCTGTCTGCAGGGACTCAGGAGCCTGGGGCCCACCTCACCTCGGGGCCGGGCCTTGGTGAGCTGGTAGGTGGCGCGCAGAGCCCTGAGCGCCTGCACCGACTCCTGAACCCGGGAGAAGCGCCACTCCAGCTCAGGCTGGTGCCAGTGCTCCTGGAGGTGTGCAACCAGGGTGGGTAAGTGGGCCCCCCGAGACTCGGTCTCAACTCTCCCGGCTCTGACCTCTATCTGCCCGCCCACCCCCATCTGCTTAGAGCAATGACCTGCTCTCTCCAGAACATACACAATTCACCACCTCAAGGAACGGAACATGGCAAAAACTAGGGCATCATCTAAGGTCTTAGATGATCCATGGACAATGTTTAGACCGAAGATGACAAACAACCAAAAATACACTGTAATTTAAAAGGTATTATTCAAAGCTCACAAAACCAAGTAAGCAAAAAAGAAACTTGGTTAAACTTGAAAATGATTTTTGGGTGAGTTTATAGCATTTGAAAGCTTAAAACTACACTAAGATCTTTGGGATATCCTATTACTAAGATCTAATCCTCATCATAACCGTGACATGTACTATTACTGTCCTCAGTTTAAAGATGGAGGAAATCGACACATGGTCACACAGCTAGTGTCAGTCTGGTGACAGCATCCTGCTCTTAACCACTTGCAAACACTGCCCCTGACACCCTAGCGTTATCCCAGCCCTGCAGGAACAATCCATCTTTCTCAAGACTCCACGGCAAAGTACAGACCAGCACTGTCAATGACCCCACAGCAGCAAGCCCTTCTAGAAGACTTGCCCCCGAGTCTTTACCAGTAATCCCACCCCAAGACTCCATGGGCGTGACTCACCAAGCTGCGGGCACTCGGGTAGGGGGCAACACAGATGCTGGGGGCAAGGGGACCACCAGGCCTGGGGGGCAGCCTCTGCCAGAGTTCTTCAGCCAGGAAGGGCATCAATGGGGCGAGGAGGCGGAGACCGATGTCAGCGCAGAAGAACAGGACCTGAGGCGGCTCCGGGGGGCAGGGAGAATGTGATAGCACAGGCTTCACGGCCTCCTAGGGAGGAAGCCAATGGTCAGGGGGCAGCCACGGCCACCTCCCTCCTCCCCACACTCGCCGCCCTGCCAGTGGGGATGCTGTGGGTATACAGGAGCACCCAGAGACCATGAGCTGTCCCCAGACACAGTAGGGAGCATGTGACAAGGGGAAATACAGGGCAGAGATTCAGGGGTGGGTGAGGAATAAAACTGTCAGGGATGTTTGTAGTTAGAATGAAAAGCATTGAGTTTTGTGTTTTTTTTAACCACAGAGACAGAAATTTTTTTTTAAGTTGAGAAACAAATCTAGGAAGGGGTCCTCAGCCAACAGTGTCAGGATCACCTGGGACAAGAAATGAACACTTTTGCCACCTACCCCACAACCTGCCTGACTGAGCCGCTCTAGGGGTGGGACCTGACACTCCATAGTAAACAAGCCCTCCTTTTGAGAGAACCCCTGGGTCTAAAGACCAGTGCTCTTGCTCCCCGTCTGCTCCCAGCCTGCCTAGGGTCCAAACGCAGCAATTACAGGAACTGAAAACAATCTCCATCTACAATGAGAAGAGCTGACTCACTAGAAAAGACCCTGATGCTGGGAAAGATTGAAGACAAAAGGAGAAGTGAAGTGAAAGTCAGTCGAAGGGGGCAGCAAAGGATGAGACAGTTAGATAGCATCACCAACTCAATGGACATGAACTTGAGCACACTCTGGGAGATAGTGAAGGACAGGGTAGCCTGACATGCTGCAGTTCATGGGATCGCAAAGAGATGGATAATA